GCGGTTATAAGTTGAGGAAAACAGCCAACAACAGAAGGTATGTAATGAACTATATTTTACTTTCTGCACAGACTCAAAGTCAACTCATGGAAAGATTGAAAGAATTCATGATAGTAATAAAAACATAACAGTGTTTACATATATGGCACAGGAGCAAAGTGTTTGAGCAATTCTTTCAAATGCATTAAAGACAACATGGTGTGTGCTTTGCATGTACAGTGTTTTCTGTAATTTTCTGTGTTGTCACTGGATGGAGCCAAAGGAAAAGAGAGAGATTAAGCATCACCCTCATCTTGTCATCTGCCATGTCAACACAAAATGGTTTAAGCTTGCAGAAAAAGCTGACAAGTAAAAATATGACAGCTAGGAGAAATAATGAGAAGCACTGTATGCTGCATAGGCTGTATTAAAGGGGGAGACTGAAGCTTCTTTGCAGTAGCTTAGCTCAAAAGGAAAAGGAAACTGCATCACAGGATTAGTAGAAGAGACTCAGGCTGCATGAAGACATGGAGGTAAAAAAAAAAAAGAAGCTAAACTAAAGGGTGACGGGTTGTCTTCAATGACATCTCATCAGTAAAGTTAGTAAAAAAGAAGAAGAAGAAGAAAAAAGACTGCATCTCCAGTTTAAAATAACACTTTTAGATGGTTTTAAAATATACATGAAACAAAATGTGACCATTTAAAATGATTAAAGCTTTTATATATATATTTTTTTTATATGCCTCGATTTTCAAGTTGGACTCTTTGTCCTTATTGCAAACAATCTTCTGTTTTTCCCCTTGCTTTTGGAACTTTAACCTTTGACTGAATCATTACCTCCATTTAGCATATTTTTTAAGAGCTTGACTCTTTTTGGCCATTACGGGGCGATCGTGGCTCAAGAGTTGGGAGTTCGCCTTGTAATTGGAAGGTTGCCGGTTCGAGCCCCTGCTCGGACAGTCTCGGTCGTTGTGTTCTTGGGCAAGACACTTCACCCGTTGCCTACTGGTGGTGGTCAGAGGGCCCGGTGGCGCCAGTGTTCGGCAGCCTCGCCTCTGTCAGTGCGCCCCAGGGTGGCTGTGGCTACAATGTAGCTCGCCATCCAGTGGCGGCTCCTGAAAAAAATCTCAGGGGGGGCAATTTTTATGATATCGACTAAAATGACCCATTTAATGAGTACATCAAACAACACAATTTTAATTTGTTGCTAGGTGATTAACTCATACAGTGATACCTCATGCCCACTAGATGGCAACACACAACAGAAAGCTTGGCCTTGACCTAGTGTGGTCTGTGCATCTTGGCTTTACACAAACCAGAATGATGAAGTTTAATTCTGATATACAAATTTAATTACTTCAAAATTAAATGTGCACATGGTTGGACTGTGCACCAGAGCATAATTCAAAACAAGTAAGCAGGAGCTTTTGATAGAGGGTTAGGGTTAGGGTTAGGGGTTAGTTAATAGGTTAATCCCTGGATTGTCTGAGGAATCACTTTCATCATGTCCCCGCATTGCTAGCTCAAAAGCACCACAAAACTTAATACAATCGATGATTTTAGACAAAATATGACGGTTTTTATCTACCTCTTCGTTGTGCCTTCTTAAAGCAATCCGATGTCCATCATCTAGCTGCGCCGCTATGCTAGTTTTCCCTAGCACAGCTAGCTTTACACTGTTGTCCATATGAACTCGTGAGCTTTCATGTTTCTTGATTCGTTCGGAGAGGTGCTTTAAGTCGGTTTGTCCAGATTGTGTCCACGTCAAATCACACTTGTCACTTTTGAACAGTATGCACGGGAAACAAAAAAGTGCATTAGCTGTTCCACAGCCTGTCAGCCACGACTTGCGCTGGAACCAACTCCGACAAAAAGTCCTGTTGTATGCTTTTGACTTCTCCTTCGTTGCCTGGGTTAGTTGAATTTCGGGCTTGTCAGGTCCCAACTCTTTAACTTGCAGTTTTTCTGCCATTGTCCTTCTGGCAAAAGGGTAGGTTAGAAGCGATCTAACCGAATTTGGGGGAGGCTGTGCCTCAACCGTTAACAATACCGCTGCCATCGTCTCTCTCTGACCTTATAGCTCACTTAGGCTACTGACTGAGGTAAAATTCTAGAACAGCAAATCTTCGCGCGTTTTCTGCAGGGGCGCAATTTTAAGCGCCCCCAAACCATTTAATTCAGCGACGCTGATAGGTCAAATATTTATTATTTTCCCCTGGCAACCATTTAATGATAGGCTATTTCGCTGCATATCAAGGGCGCTTTGACGAGCGCCCCAGAAGAAGAAAAACACCGTTTGTTGGTTGAACTTTAATGAGTCAGCTGGTGAAAATGTTAAAATACGCCTGGCTGTATATGGGCACACACATAGTAAAACTATCATTGATGAATTTTTTAAAAATATATATTTTTACTCCTCCACATTTGGGGGGGCGGAGCCCGAGCGCCCCCTATGGGCCAGCCGCCACTGTCGCCATCACCAGTGTGTGAATGTGTGTATGAATGGGTGGATGACAGGTTGTGTAAAGTGCTTTGGGGTCCTTAGGGACTAGAAAAGCGCTATACAAATACAGGCCATTTACCATTTTTGGCCATTAATAACAGAATAACCCTTTAAAAATCTTTCTTGTTGCAAATGCAAGTTGCATTTTTCAGTTGCTCAAGCAAACTGAAAAAGTTTGCATGGGCCTCTAGGGAGCAGTTTCACTGGAAATGCATGCATTAAGTGGTCAGAAGGATACTCTGTCATGTTTGAATGTTTCGTGGATCCAAATGATTTATTAAGTGATTAGCTTTTTTCACTCCAAGTGGCAGCCAAAAACAAAGTCCACAAAACCTTGGGGCGACAGCAGAGGGCTGTCTTCAGAGAACAGCCTGGAAAAGAATGCAAAGGGACAATGAACTAAAGCAAACTGAAAACAGACACAGGAGGAGAGGATATGCAAAACACCAGGGTAATGAGATACTGCTGAAACTAATCCAAGAAGACAAGAAACCAAGCTGGGAACAAACACAAGCGACTGAAGCTGCCCAAATAAAACAGGATGTAACAAAATGAGGGCACACCTAACACCGAAACTGAGATTAAACCACAGACACATAGAACACAATAGGGCAGGAAAAGTGAAACAGTAACTATATTTAATGATTAAAAAAGTAATCATATCTAAAACTAAGAAAACCTGAAAATAGAATCAAAAGCAGAACACGAACAATGCACATGATGCACACTGATCCGAAGATCGTTTGTCCCTTACACATACATTGGAAAAAGAACTCTTGTAAGATGATGGATACTTTTTTTTTCAGAGCATCCGAAATTATTGTTTGTTTGTTTTTTTCAAGCTGTTTAATTCATTTAATTTGGCTCTGGAGAGTCTGTAACAGCTGCATGATTATCTTATCAGAGGCCTTTCATGTGTGCTGGGAGCCAACAGAAAGTCAATCAGTTCAGCAAATGAGGGTCTTGGTTGCACATGTCCTAAATGAGAACTAATGTGCATGCTCACGGGCCTAAAATGTGGAAGCAGATGTAAGTACCTCATGGAGGACCTTTGGTATATGCACTGATAAGCAACTTTCATTCAAATGAATGAGGTGCTGTCCTGAACTGCAGTATCCACTTTTCCTCAGCTCACCCCAATTGAAGCCCCATTCTTCATTCAAAGTCACTTTATTGTGTTTTCTTGTTGTTGTTTGGGTACTTACAAAAAACATTACATTTCATACATACTCTATCCATTTGGGCACTTTGGTACATTTTTCTTCTTCGTGTGGGTGCCTTAGGTTGCACTGTATCATGTTTACCGCTGAGCACCTTTGAGGGTCATAAAAAGCATCTCCTTCATTTCTTTGTCAAGTAACAGTGAGAGCTACAGCAGATAAATTTGGCAACACCTCCATGGCGTCCGTTTCTGACATCCATTCCTTTTCTTCTGCTTCTCCACTTCAGAGGGGGCCTGGAGTCTATTCCAGCTGTCATAGGGTGAAAGATGGAGTACACCGGGGTACACCGATATACTGGACAGGTCACCAGTCTGACACAGGGCAAACACAGAGAAAGAGAGCAACAACATTCACACTCACATTGATGCCAAATTTTAGAATCACCAGTTAACCTAACCCCAGTAACTGCCAGTCCCTGACAGAACCCACGCAAACATGGGGACAACATGCTAACTCCACACAGAAAGGCATCACAGAGCGACGACGGTGATGAAATGAACATGATTTTAAAAATGAGACATAAAGGGATATGATTCTGTTAACTCTTCTGACTCAATTGATTATATTGTTTGACTTTCATAACAGGCAGCACGGTGGCACGGTGGTTAGCACTGTTGCTGCACAGCAAGAAGGTCCTGAGTTCAATTCCTGAGTGTGAATGGTTGTCTGTCTTTGTGTGTTAGCCCTGTGAAAGACTGGTGTACCCCGCCTCTTGCCCTATCACAGCTGGAATAGGCTCCTGCGACCCTGAAAAGTGGAAGTGACTGAATGAATGGACTTTCATAACATCAGAGGACCAGAGATGAGCAAACACATGCTCACCAAATTTATGATTTTTCTAAAGCCTATGATATGCTCTTAATCAAAGACGCTGCTATTATGCAAAGAATGAGTTAATTATCAAATATTAATTTTAAAAAAATACATTAACCGGAACTAGTTATTACTGCTGTTGTTGCTGTTTTTTCTTTGTTTTTTTGTTTTTAATCCAGTCAGCCATCTGTCAGCCAGCCATCCATTTCTTTTTTCTCTTTTTTTTAATTTTAAACAAACAAATAAATTATTTATTTTGCTCTATGCTCTATTAGACAACACATGATGCAAGCTGTTGCACAAAATGCCAAAAATATTCTTTAAAAAACACAAAGAAAGAAAGAAGGGTTCCATATGGGCACCCTTTAATTTCACTGAGGAGACCTCGCCAGTCTGCTCAAGCCCTGCTCAGACGTTGCATACGCCCCTGCAGAGCAGAGCTGTGAGAGCCCCCCCTCTCCTCCTCCAGCGGCACTGTGCTGTAAATGGCCTGCTGCAGCTACAGCTACAAGTCGTGGAGGCAAGAATGACACCGGCGCTCCCCTACATCAAGACAACTTGAGCGTAAGAACGGATTTGTTTCATTAATTCCTTTAAAATAATAATAAGATATATACCAAAACACGATGGCGCTCATCCCTGCATCTTTACGGACACGGTTAGTGGTGGGTGTTTTTTCGTTCTTTGCAATGTGGGGATTTGCGCTCTCCATCACTCGGTACTCTATTCCGGAGGAAATGGAAGAGGGTTCCTTTGTTGCTAATCTGGCCACAGATTTGGGTCTGGATATTCGCAGTTTGGAGGAGCGCAAAGCAAAACTCGATGTCATTCACAGTAAAAATTACCTCGACATCAACAAAGATACAGGGGAGCTGGTTATCCGCGAGAAGATAGACCGGGAAAGCATATGCATGACTAAAACAACCTCGTGTTTTCTGAAAATGGATGTCATACTTTCAAGCCCGGTTCGCATTTTTAACATCGAGCTGGAAATTATGGACATAAATGACAACGCGCCGGTGTTTCGCAGAAAGACAATGCACTTAGACATTTCGGAGGCAACCCTTCCCGGTGAGAGATTCTCACTGACAAACGCCGTGGATGCGGATGTGGGGGCGAATTCAATCAAGACCTACTATCTCAGTGAAAGCAAATACTTCAACATCGACATCCAGACCGGCAGCGATGGCTCCAAATATGTCGATTTAGTGCTTAGTGGTAATTTGGACCGTGAGGAGCATGCTGTTCACGATTTAATTCTAACCGCTGTGGATGGAGGTGTGCCTCCTCGCTCCGGCACAGCCAGCATCATTATTAACGTCCTGGATATCAACGACAACGCCCCCATATTCAGTCAGCCGGTATATGCAGTCAATGTCTCGGAGAACTCGGCAGCAGGAACGGTGGTCATGACCTTAAATGCAACAGACTTAGACGAAGGCACAAACGCCCAGTTGGTATACTCACACACACTGTACACATCGGAGAAGACACAAGAGCTATTCTCACTTGATCCAAATTCAGGTGAGATCAAGGTGAAGGGGGTGATCGATTATGAAGAGAGTCAGAGTTTTGAGATGCACATACAGGCACAGGACAGAGGGACGAACCCTCTGTCCGGACACTGTAAAGTCACAGTGTTTGTGACAGATCTCAATGATAATTACCCTGAAGTGACTATCAAGTCTCTGAAAAGTTCGCTGACTGAGGATGTCTCTGTAGGGACGCTGATTGCAGTGGTCAGTGTGAGCGACAGGGACTCTGGAGCCAACGGAGAAGTGGAGCTCTCTCTAAATAGGCAAGAAACGTTACCGTTTCGCTTAAGCAAGTCCTCTGAGGGTTACTTTGAAATGCTAGTGTCAAAACCACTGGACAGAGAGGTAATAAGCAAATATGACATCATACTGAGAGTGACAGACAAAGGTGTGCCACCCTTATCGGAAAATGAAACCATCACTTTGGAGATACTGGATATCAACGACAATGCACCTACATTCTCCCAGTCGTTCTACACAATCCATGTCATGGAGAACAATCCACCGGGGGCATTATTGACATCTCTGAGCGCATTTGACCCAGATCTGAATGAGAACCAGTACTTGGTTTATTTCATAATGGAGAAAGAAATCGTTAACACTTCTATGTCGATGTTGTTTTCCATCAATCCTGAGAATGGTGATCTTTATGCCCTGAAGACCTTTGATTATGAGAGAGAAAGGGACTTTCTTTTCCACATTGAGGCAAGAGACTCTGGTGTTCCCCCGCTGAGCACCAATTGTACCGTACATATTATTATTCTGGATCAAAATGACAACACCCCTCTCATAGTGTCACCTTGGCGCGCACAGGGCTCTGTTGTAGAGGAGGTGATACCGAGGTCGACTGATAAGGGACATTTGGTGGCCAAAGTGATCGCCATTGATGCAGACTCTGAGCAGAACGCCAGAGTCACATATCAGCTACTTCAGATCAGTGATTCAACCCTCTTTAGCCTGGATCAGTACAACGGTGAGATCCGGACAACAAGGATGTTTAGTTACAGAGATCCAAGACAACAGAGGCTGGTAATTGTTGCTAAAGACAATGGTCAACCTTCTCTTTCTGCTACTGTCACCATCAAGATATCAACAGTGGAACATGCAATGGCCTTTTCAGAAACTACAGAGCTTCCACTAGACTATGACATGTTCACTGACCTAAACCTCTATTTAGTGATCGGTTTAGGAGCTGTGTCCTTTCTGCTACTGATAACCATCTTAGTTATTATTGTGCTCAAGTGTCAAAAACCAAAGCCAAAGGCCATCAAGATCCCTCCAGCCAATAGAAATAGCGTGATCAGCAGGAACAGCGTGATCAGCCAGAGAAGCTCCACTATCGCAGATTCCACGCTGATCTCCAGCGATGCCTACTGGTACAGCTTGTTCCTCGCAGAGACCAGGAAGGGCAAAGTGGTCGTGAGACAGCCCATAATTCCCAAAGGAGCTGGGTATTTTGTTTCCAGCATACCCAGGAGCATAGGGCCAAGTGAGACCACAGATTCCAGAGCATCAACACTGGAGGTATGTAGAAATATCGGATGGGTTCAGTAAAAAGCTTAAAAACGTTGAAATTGCCCATATGGAAAAGATATATATAAATCTTATAAAGATTGTATCTGTCTTGTGTGAAACTTGTATGAAAAGCATACAAGCGTAAAAACACTTGAGTTGAAGTTTCCTTCAACCTGCATTCAAGTATAAATCAGAAATACTATACTTATACTCGACAACATTTCAGAAGTAAATATTGCAGGTTTGAGGTTAATCCTGAAGTGAAGATTTTACCAAGTCTCGGGATCCCCTGAAGGAGGCCAACCCCTGGCTTAGTTTAAACTATTGAACTGTATATAAATCAAATGACGTACTGTAATATGTAATAATATGTAATTTTTCAGTGTGTTTAATAATAATATTTATGAAGGATTTTGACTGTTAATTCAGGCTGTTTAAAAGTGTAGGACTGGTACTTTTACTTGGGCAAACGATCTTAGTACTTCTTCCACTGCAGTGACTCCTCGCTTGTACTTTGAAATGCATTCAGGATGACAGGACTGACTGAAAAATCAAAGCTCTTTCTATTATTTACCTTGGGTCTGTGTCATGGGTCGGATGGGCTAGTTTTCTCTGCAGTCTGAAATCTGATACGAGTTGAAAATAAAAGTGGGGCTAAAGTTTTTATAATGGATGAATTTGATAATGACTAGAAGTAATTTCATTGACATTAATCAAGTGAAATGTATATTGTAATGAATAATAATGCACCTATTTTCAAAATTATTGGAAATAAGTTACAAGTAAGAGGACAGCTCAATTTATTTAGTTTTGTTTTGTTTTTTCATCAAGCATGTGTTTCTAGAGCAAATCATCAGCGCTGCTATTGCATAATTAGGCCAAACAAGCCCACCCCACAAAAAATTGTCACTTTTTGATGTCTTATGTAGTATGTAGGTCATGTACTGCAGATGCATAGCACAGAATAATAGCATAACTGGTAGGTGCAAGAGGGGGAGTACTACAAAGAAGATCAGACGTGGGAGGGTTGTCTTCAAGGACAAGCGAGATGCCTCATGAGTCTCTAGCAGTGTTCTGGCACACTGTAGACTATCAACAATGCATGGATGCTAAAAAATGATCCAGATGTTGTTTATATTTGTACAGCTGGACCTGCAGAGTAAACTGAATCAAGTGATCCGCTGAATGATCAGCATAAATATGCATGTTGTACGGGGGCATATGGAGGGAAAGAGACAAACACCCATGTATGATGTGGATGTATTGTGAGCGTGAGTTCGAGTGTCTGCATTACCACTGAATTTGTCTCTTTTTTTCTATTCTTAAGTACTCAAAATGAAAGGAAGTCCATTCTACAACTGGAGGTATGCTGGTTGCTAACTACATCTGTAGAGCCACTATAATTGTGTAGACATTTTCTATCTCTTTCTATTTGGTGTTCGTTCTTCGTTTGGCTCTAAAAATTTGGATTTTATACAAATTTTTTTCCTGATTCTTCCTTTTTTTTGCTGAAATCCTTTCCCAAGATATTTTCCTGATTAAATAGAACAGGTTACACTAGCCCACAAAAAAACAACACTCCCCTCTAATTCACTACTACTGTGAGCATTAAAATCTAAATTGGCTGGTCTCTGAAGTGAGAAAACCATGTATCAGCTTATAACAAGAGCTGAGATTAGAATAAAATTGGCTGCTTGTCAGATCTGTGTTGCGCACATCTGGCTAGCTTGGTAGAGATTCAGGGCAAAAGTGATGGCACAGACATAAAAAAAGGATTAAAGAATGAATTGCCCTGAGTGGATTCTCAGCATACCTGAGAGCAGTGACTATATAAACTCAGATCTCCACATATAAACTCTGTTAGGTGACGTTTTAAATGTCGCAAATGAATTATGCCCTATTCTTTTTCCCCCACGTCAAAAAAACATTAGACAGTTTAATATTGGCATACCAAATACCAAATAGCACATTGTGATGCTTGCTTGTGCATGCTTTAGTCACACCTTCTGCTTCCCTTATTTCAGTTAATGACTTTGATATTTTATTTTAGTCATGTATGTTAGTCAAACAATTTTTTTTTGTATTTTTAAATTTGTAGATTGATTTTTTTTTTAAAAACAAATTTAAAAAACAATCCTGATTATGATTGATTTAGTGACTTATCTTTCAATTTAAAAGTCCCTAACGTCTATTGACATGTCAATGATGGTGGCAGTAACCAGTCACGATCCACTGTTGCATGAGTGAGGACTTTCTGTAAGTTTATATTAAGACTTACTTCCTGTGTTGGCTAATTCTATGTTCTTTCTCTCAGCAGGGGCCCAGAAGAGAACTGCCATGATATAATCATCTCTTCATGGGAGTCTTTGGCTAAAAAATCTTCCCTGTGACTCACAAAGAAGATGTAAAAAAAAAAAAAAAAAAAACAGAAACAAAAAAAACATCTGCTAGTCCCTCTGCTCCAGCTGTTCTTTCTCTCTGCTTCCTCCATTGACCACTAACCACCTCAGCCTTCCAGCTTTGTTAATCTTTTAAGCATGAATCTGCATGATTCTACAACTAAGTATTCAGACAACAATTTGAAATAGTTTCTGGCAGGATATGTTGACATTACTGAGCAGACCTCATGTCATAAATCATCCCCTTCATGATGTTCTGAAACTTTTAAATAGACAATTTTGCCTTTTTTCTCCAGAGTTTAAGCTGAGTGTTGTAGTTGTAGAAACCTTCAGTACTTTGCAATATTCTTAAGTTCAAGTCAGGCAGCATTTCATATAAGCAAGAGTTCAAAATATGCCTAAACCTAAATATACAAGTGAATCAGGGTGAATATGCTTCTTCCATAATACTGATATAACATAACTGCAGCTGGTTATGTCACTGATTCAGCCTTTTTGTCTTGTTTCTTTTTCGGTTTTTAATAAAACGTTTCTACTCTATTATGGGTCTTGCTGGTTAGTAAGATTCATATGCTTTTAGTTGAGCTGTTTTCACACATGTGCTCCAGAAAATATTGAGAGAATTACTGAAGGACATTGTCTACAATTGCCCTTTTCACATGTAGCACGCAAAAGGGGAATAGTCGGTGTCAGATGCTTTCTCATTACCAGATAGACGAGAGTGCTGCCTTGGCGGAGTGTGCAGAAAGCACACTTGCTGTGAATTCACTGGGCAATTACCTGCTCTAGTCTCAAATGGGTGCATTCAGATGTTACATGGTGTTTTTACTAAAGAGCTGTCAGGGTAAAGACTGTTAAATGTCCAAAATGACATTTGCTTTCTCACGTAGAGCTCTGCTGGTTAATGCTGAGGAAAGTTTAGGCCCACAGTGCAAGTGTGAAAACAGCTGTAGTAAGTTTCTAAGAAAAAGAGCAAAAAAAAGATTTTATTCAATTTTAAATTTTTTAAACAGTATTTGTTGTACTAGAGAAGTTATGAATGTGTCAAAGTGATGAAAAAGAATGAAAGATAAGAAAACTAAAAAAAAAACCAATCACATTATAGGTGATACATTGTTTCTTTTTTCATTTGATTGTAGATAGATTAGTCGTATAGGGACGATAACAAGATTACAAAAGTTAACTAACAACAGATTTACGTTTTTTATCTGACGTGTATGAGCTACACAAAAATATTGAACTACATAAATATTGAACAATTTTCATTTTCACACTGTAGTTTGAGCTTGTCTCATTACGTTGTACTAAGCAAGGGGTCTGGAGGAGGGGTGCGCTTACACCTCTTTTTTTTTTTTTTTTTAACTGAGGTAATCACAGAGTGGGGTGAGGCCAGAGTGGGGGACATGTACAACTCTCAGACACAATGAACCGTATTTTGAAAAAACACAATCAAATATCAAATGTCAGTTTAACTGTCTGTGAGAAGATTTGCTTATTACAAGCTATCATCTCTTCGGGCTCATTTCCTTAAAAGTTCACAGTTCAAATAATAACTGTGTTCACTCATTGCACAAAGTGCAAATTGATTAATTTAATATGAAAACAAAGGAATAATATAGAGCAAGTATATCCAAATGTATTTATCTTTGCCAGGGTACAAAGGGATATCAGGTACAGGCATGGCAATTTAGGAATATTATTGTTTTTATATATTTTTTGGTAGTAACTTTTAATGCTGCTTTTGTGAGCTTCTTTGAGGGCATTTTTTGTTGCATATTTGTAGTTTAGTGTACGTAATGTTGTTTTGATGGTGTACATATTAATATATAAATAATAAAACTAGAATACTTCTCTTGACCTCAAAAGTAGCGCTGTTGCACTACGAATAAGCCCAGGACTTTCATGACTCAGAAACAAGGAGCTTATTAATACCACTTATTAGGGTGCTAATTGATCAAATGTAACTGTATGTGGTAAAAGTATTGGATTATGAGAAGAAGAGCGCAGTGTTAATTATGCTCACAGCATTAAAGTGCAGACTCTGCAAGTTCAGAAATCTGCTGAACCCATACGTGGAGCGTGAAAAGCATTAAGCAGATGCCAGCACTTTGAATCTGAATCTAAATGTGATCGGAGCACTCCCTTCAGTAATGCAGTGAAGGTAGAAGATTTCAGGAAGTATCAGTCTTCACATTTAGAGTCAGTGAAATTGAACCTCTCTTCCTCTCTTTTGCACCAGGCTTCCCAGACATAAACACATCTTTCTGGCTGTCTGTCAGGCTAACGATGTCACGTAATAAACGATTTCTCGCTGTGAAGAACGTTTTATATGTTTAATTCATGCCTGAACCAATTCGAACAGTGTTTAAAATGATTTTTTTTTTAGAATTGCACATACGATGAGCTCTTTGTGTGCCTTCTGCATTGTAAAAAATAAACATGACTGTTGATGAATGAAATAATGGCATTCCACTAGTATTACAAATTACACTGAGACCCATGATACAATACCTTGAATTTCTTGTTGGGTGGGGCTCAGCCTTTTGGTTTCAGAGCAGGTTTTCAGTTAAAAACAAAGAAACAAACAAAAAAAAGCAACAAAAAAAAAACATGCATTTACTGTAAAATGAAGTGCTTTGTACTTTGTTTTTTCTACAGTAGACTTTTTTGATATTTTCTGTATTCACTGTGACTGAATGGCACAGGAGGTGCTTGTGCTCAGTATTGTAAACGTGAGTAATTCTCATGCGTACACAGCTCAGTTTTTTTTTTTACTTTTCTCCTTCTCGCTTATTTGCCAGTCAGATTGTACAGTATGCTTTGAGAGTCGCATCAAATGTTAGCCAGTTCCATCCCATTTAATGAATCAAAGACAGTATGGGTGAGAATGGTCTTGCTTTGTTTTCAAGTCTAGTCAATTGTCAGATTTTGATGTTGCTTATTTGGCTTAAATGTTCTGCCTGATCATGCTAGTTTGAATAAAGCTTTTTAATCTGTCTTTCTATTGTTTCTCTAATGAAGAATGAAGCTGAAGTGATCAGAAGTGACTTCTTGAATATGATGTTCTCTCTTCCCCCTCTTCCTTGCTCTCTCAAATTCCCTCACATACACACATTTTGACCCAGTTTCTCTTTATAACGCTCTGTACTAATTCTTGGAAATTGAAAACTAAATAAAGGAGATGCGCCTGCAGTTCAAATCACAGAAGCAGACAAATAATAGCTTTGTCAGGATTAGTAAAAGCCATGAGCCAAATTGCAGTAGTCTGCTCTTCGCTGTGGCCACACAGGGCTTTTAGTTTGTAGTCCTATGGCAGACTCGTGTATGAGAGTACTGTGAATTTGTATCACTAGTTATTGCCACTGTTATCAATAACAGCAAATTTCTATCTGTTATCTGGCTAAATAATAACAACTTCCATACCTGGATTGATGTGATTTACAGTGTCTTTCACAGTAATGATCTGGCTTGCTTTTCAAACAAAATCAATACCTGTATATAATAAAACTATTAAGAATAGTATTGACTGAAATCTAGTAGATTTGGATAACAAAATTGAGAAGCAGTCCTGTGTCTCAGCTGTATGCTGGTCAGTTCAGAAATACAGCACCTTGTAAAATTACACAATACTATAGAGAAGGCCCAAAAGTTCTTAAGTAACTTGTGCTTTAAAAGACCCTGAAGTAGGTCAGTGCAAATGAGCAGTGCAACTGTGGCTACATCCCATGTGCTGAGTGCTGTTCCCGCCAACTCTTCCCTCAGGAGAGCTACGTTTTTTAAACCAACGCAGTCCATGTTATTGAAATTGTTGTGCAACCCACCAGTGATAAACACGAGCAGAGTGCAACTACAGTTCAAAAGGGTACTTTTAATCACACTGGTTCCTAGAATGTTTAACTGTTTTACAATGTTTATAAGTACTGTACTGCACAAGGTCATCATACTGTAATTAAAAGGTAAACCAAAATCTAAAATGTAAATACAAATTAAAAAGTAGATTTCAGGAGGAAAGAAAAGATTTTGTATCCTGACAATGTAAATTGTCAGAAAGACTAAACTGAAACAGTTCCCACCAATAAAAAATAAACTGTCATGATTCACTCTGGAAGCCAAAACCTCTGATAACTGTGCTGCAGTATTTAGGGCAGCACTGTCTAGCCACCCAGCTCTGATCTGTTTAGGGATCCACACAGTTTCAATGCAATAAAACTGGTGACCTGCCCAGGGTGCTCTGTTCAGTGATTCTTGTCCCACCGTGAACCCAAACAGAGCAGGCAAATGTGGAAAATCAAACCGATGTTAGGTTAGGTTAAGTGTTTTCAGAGTGCACTTATAGTGAAGCAGCAGCACTTAAAAAAACAAACTCCTCTCTGCTGTAATCTGTAATGTAGTAGAAGTTGTTTTGGTTTTTTTTCAGACAACTTTGTGGTCTGAAGAGGTATGCAATTAAGCACCCCATTACACATCATCACCACTTTTTTCTGCAATGCTGCAGTGCTTCCATATCTAATGTGTGGGCTTCATTATAAATCATTTTAAAATCTATCTGCCCCACAGTAAAAAGAAATGTTTTTGTTTGCAGCTAGCTCATCACACAGCACTATATCGATCCGTTAAGTGTGGCAGTGTGTTTTAATCTTCAGTACTGAGATACAATATTCAAAACAGAGCTTTGGGGAAGCTGCTTAAGCATATTTTTACCAGATTATCTGGACTGACTCAAGTCTATATTTTGGCCACTGTAAAAGCTTCTTTTAGATCAGCTTTAGATCAGCTTCAGTGTGTGGATTTGCATTAACTATAATCAACCTAAAACAATTCTCCTTTTTATGAATTAATGTGATTTTGATTTAGTTGCTTTAAACACATGTTTAAGCAGGGTTTTTTTTCTCCAATAAACGAAGTTAAAAAAAGGAGTCAGTGACCAAATATTATACCTAAAATATAAAGTAGACATCTGGTGCCTACATTGTGGATCGTCCACTCTAGATAACTCTATATAAGCCCATATTATATTCCCAAAA